CAGTGCTATAGAAAGACTTTTATCTAAATACTGTGAGCTGATTTAAACTGATTTAAATGTTTTGGGCTTCTCTTTAATATACTGTGTGGGGAGACCTGTTTTTGAGACAACAAGACTATTTTTTCACCTTTCTGGTGGACTTCACTAAACTATCAGGATGTACACATTCTGAGAGTGTCTAATATCTCGAATGGAAAAGCAAGAGAGATGAATCTTTAAGAAAAAAATCATCTTTTCTTCAACACATTCTATAATAATAGAAAATTAATTTAAGAAGTTAACACAATTTTAGAAAATTTGAAAATTTTAAACAGTTTAATAACACCTCCCCACACATGATTTTTCATCTTTCAGACTACCACTTTCAGAGTGCTACAATTTCACTAGTTACTATTATCCTCTGGAGTGGAAAATGTCCAAATTTTTCATATAAAAACCCAAAACATTGACCATTTTTATAAAAGTCTCAGAAAGAAGCAAAAAAAGCGTAAGGATTGCTCTTATTCTAATTTTGTTCTACCTTCCGATTTCAAAGGTGTTCTCCATTTTCAAATAAAACACCTTAAAATGAACATTGGAGCAATTTTTTACAGATATTACAGTTATAAACTATCAGAAATCAGAAAATTCAGAAGTTGAACATAAAGAAACCTAAATATTCAGAATATGAAATATAGGCAGGATGCAAGCAGATCTCTCTTTATTTGTAAGCATGACTGATAACAAGGAAAAGTTCCTAAATATGCATTTCCTATTTCTGGGTTTGGGTCAGAATCCATTTGGGAAAAGACATTTAGAGGAATTTCAGACTTTTCAGATATTTCAGGAAAGGCAAAATGCCCAAACATAATGACATCCTATAGAAGGTCAATGAGGACAAAGAAATATGGTAGATATGTCATTCTTGTCATTAGATATCCAATCTTCATCCAAGGATTCTGAGTCTGTGCCAGAGTCTGACTTTCCTGCATAATCTCACTTAAAAATTACGAATGAGCTTTTATCCCTCAGCAGTGCTGACAAAAACTTGAAAATAGACATTCACAAAGTTTTACATTTAGAAAACAAATGAAAACAATTGCAATATATTTCAATATATTTAAATGAAATTCATGAGTTTTTAATGGGGTACCAAAACTGATATCACTGAAGTTGAAGAAATAGTTGTAGACTATTTGCATAAATATATAGCAGTGTTCAGAGACCTGAATTCTAATTCCAAACCCAGTAATGACGTGTACAATTTGTATCAGCCATTTCACCTCTGGCTGTCTCAGTTATCTCCTGTGAAAAATGAGATAATAATACTTACCCATCTTAGCAAAGTGTTTTGATATCCATAGAGAAAAGAGCTATAAAATTTCAAATTATTGTAGCTAATTAGAAATCATTTATCTTCTAAAAATTAAGACTATCATAGTTTTCATTATAAATTAATTCCTATCTGGAAAATGCTTTAGGCTGAAAGAGGGTATGAACATTTCCACCTGCATTGATATCTGGGCTCTAGTTAAAGAAATCTATTGCAATGTCCATTGTGCATATTATTGTGATAGCGTTCAAGCACTGTGCCAAAACAAACTTTGAATTTAAAGACTCAGAGCTGGCTCAAGGGGGTAACATGTCTACTTTGGCTGCAGATTGTGGGTTTCATGAGTTGGCTGATCCAGAAAATTTATGTGCGGGTTCACCATGCCAAAAACACGCATTTCTCTGAGTGTTGATTTTCCTCTCCTGTATGTTTTTTTTGAGACAGATTTCCTAAATCAGAAAGAATTAAGGTTTTTGATACTGAAAACTGAGACAGTGGCAAGTAGAACTGGTGTGACAAATCTAGTGGGGAAAAAACAAGTTAGCAGTTAGAATTTTTCTGCCAACACCTGACCAGGGCAGCATATTTTTCCTTCAGTCCTAGTAAATCAAGACACTGACTTGAAACACTGTACCAGATCCACATCAGTTCCACCATTTATAAGAACTCAATCAGGAGTGAATTCCGGTTTTCCTTGTTTCAGTGGCCGGTGCTGCAAACTGTGAATTTCAACAAAGCTTCATTTTCTTTCAAATTGCCTTTCTCTCAGCTTGTGTTCTCAAAGGCCACAGAATGGAGAAATGTGTTCATTCTGGTATATGCTTTCGGTTATTTCAAAACTAAAATGTTTTTGGCAATTTTGCTCCCACACAGAATCCCTACATATGGGAGCTTCTCAAATATTCTCATCTCAGACAACTGTCTCATTTATTCAAATACAGCATAATTAAATGAAATGGGTGTTTATTTGGTAACACATAAACAAATTCAGTGAGATGACACCACTTTCTTCCTAGTTTGTCATCCTACACTTTTCATCTTTTCAGAAAAAAAGATGTTTAAATGTGTAAGCCTCATAAATGCAGTTCTTGCTTTCATAAACCCTGTGACTGACGCTTCAATTGCATAAAATACATCAAATTAAATAATGATCAAAATGCAGTCTATAGTTTTACTGTAGAAACAGAACATATCTAATAGTTATTTTAAGCTGTCTCTGCCCTACTATTAAGCAAATGTGCTTAAAAGGCTTCACCTATCAGCTTTTACATCTACAGAAGTGTGACAATTCTGTCCATTAATCCAGGATATGTAGAAATAGGGAACTATTAATGCTAAACATAACTGCAGTGCTATTAGTACCAGCAACAATGAAGAGATTAAAAATTAATCTCTACATGGTGCTACTTCTTCAGGATTTTATTTTTTGGTTCACCCTAAAATATGCCATTTTTTGTAGAAGAGCTTTGGCCACTGGTGGGTTTTGAAAAAAAAAAAAAAAGACACTTGGTCTTTCTTTCAGGAGATATTGCCTTGTGTATTACTCCTTTGTCTTTATTCCACATGAAAGAATTCAGTTTGTCCCAGGACTTCCAATCCTGACTCCTCTTAGCGTTGCACTGTGATCCTTAAAGGCTACCACACTCTGCTCTTTCTGACCAGGAGGTAACACTGGCCTAAAATATGGCTGCAAAATTTGTCTGTCATGAGGGGTGTCTGCCAAGAGGAACTGCATATTAATCATCTCTTCCAGGATGAGGCATCTTCTTCAAGTCTAGCTCTGCTTTGGATGTGTCAGATTTCTCCCCATCTGCCAAGTCCTGCTCATTTAACTCACTTTCAAATACAGTCTCCTGTCTCCTCAGCACTTTTTTTCTGAATCTTCCATTTCTTTATGAAAAACAGCAGACCAGTGAAAAACTCTCTTAGCATTCCTTTTAGCCTTCAGACCACATCAGAGTACATCAGCAATTTATTGGGCTGCTGATGAGCACAAAATGTGCAAGGAGGAGAGTTCTGCAAAAATTTTTTGAGTTCACTCAAAAAATATTGAAGTCTTTTAGTGCTTATACACACAAAGAAAAATATCTAAGTGTAAATCAGGCATAGCTAAACAGTGCTGTCTGTTAATCATTATCCATCAGCATTACTACAGAATTAGTAATGAAAGTCAGTTTTAGGCAAGCAACCTAAGATCCCAAGGAAAAAAATTCTGTATGAGAGGACATTGCTGTCTCTTTTACAACAGCTAGAAGACTTGAGAGCAAGGAGAATAAGAGAAGATATCAATTCTCACAACAGTGAAGTCTATAAATTATTTACTAGTCAGAGACTGAGACAGTAAGGAAAAAGCTACAAAGCTGGATCTAGACACACTGTCTTTACCATAGCCCCATTGTCTCTTTTTCCCCCCATCAGAGAGAGAAAACAAGTAGATGGAGAGCCCTGCTTAGAACCTCACTATTGCTATGTTGCACACATGCAGAATATTTTTTTATAAAATTAGGAGAAATAAAACCTAACTCTAATTTCCAATTTACACCTAAAGTAGCCCTCTCTATGATCCAGGTCCTAGCTCTGTCTCACGCAAGCAACCATTTCAAGTCTCTTAAAGCGTGCCTTGTGAATAAAGGTTATCAGGTTTTTATTAAGCAGAAACCAGAGTGGGTGACATCACCAGTTACTTATTAACTTAGAGCATAAAGGAAAATCATAAAAACGAGTATGAGAACAGTGCCACAAACTCAACAAGTCATAAAATTAACCGCCTCGCACGTGTAACGAAAACCCAACAAGTCCCACATTTCAGATGAAGTACGGGATGTGCTGCAGGACAGTCATTCCTGTCTTGCAGCGGGTACCAAAGGGGCAGGCAGGGGACACCCGGCGCTCCCCAGGGGCAGCAGGGGAGGGCGCCTCAGAGGGGCCAGGGGGAGGGTGCCTGGCACGGAGGCGCTCCGGGGAGCGCAGTGCGGGAGCATGAGGAGAGGGGCTGCCGGGCACAGCCGCAGGGAACCTGTGGGCCCCCCGAGGGGCGGCGTGGGGCCGGAGCGACCCCGACCCTCCCACCTCCCCGTACCTGGGGCCGGCTCCGCCGCGGCGTTACCGGTCTCCGGGCAACGGGAGCCGCGGGGCGCCCCGGGAGCCGCCGTCCGGCGGGGCGGGCCCGGCGGCGGCAGCGGGCGAATTAGAGGGGCCGGTGGGTGTTTAACTTCGGGTGGGTTTGGTTGTGGCTTGCTTTTAAAGTAACCTCTTGTTTGGCCGCGGTTGCGGTCTTTTGAAATGTCAGCGGGAGAACGGGACGAATTCCCCAAACGTTCCTCCCGCCCGCAGGGCGAGGCGTGCGCTCCCGTGCGCCCCTGGGGTGGGAGGCGCTGCCCCGGGCGAAACTGCGTGCCCGTGACTTCCCGTACACCTGTGTGCGAATTACATGGACTTTTTAAAAATTTATTTTATATTTATACAATAAATACGTACTGTGAAATATATCTTTATATTATATATATTTTTTTAAGTAGCGTCGGAAGCTGGCGGCGGGTGTTTTGCCTGGCTTTGCGGAGCAGGGCGCAGGTAGGGAGGGAGGGGACTGCAGCCGGCGGCAGCGCCCGACCGAGGGACAGGTGCCACGGAAGGGGAGGGACAGTGGGCGCGACGTCCCCGGGCGGCGGCGGCGGAGGAGGAGGAGGAGGATTGCGCGCCATGGCCCCGCACGGGCGCTGCCGGTGGGCGCTGGCCCTGGCCCTGGCCTGGCTGCCGGCCGGTGAGTGGGGCCGTGGGGTCCCGGCCCGCCCAGGGGTCCCGTCCCAGCCGGTGACACCCCCGCGGCACCGGGCCGGGACCCGGGAGGCGCCCTCGGGGTTCGCCCGTGGTTAAGGCGGTGCGGGGTCGCGGGGAGCGGCGGCGGCCCCGCGGCGAAGGGAAGGGGCGGCCAGGGCCGGGCGAGCGCCGTTCTCCTCTCGGTGCCCTTCCCGGGGCTCTCCCGAGCTCGTTACGAAGCCATGCAGAGGGGAGTTTCGCTGTCCCAAAGGTGCGGCTGGGCGCTCTCCTAGGAGGAAGTGACCGCCTGCTTCCTGGCAGCCTCCAGTATCGGTCGCGTGCGGCTGGCCTGGCTGGAACCTGGGAGCAGGGCGCGGGCACGGAGAGGTCGATCCCCCTTTGACCTGTCGCAGTCGCCCGCCTCAGGCTTTGCTGCTGGCTCAGCCTGTTTGGGGATCGGGGGAGCCGCAGTGCTTCCTCACCCGTGAGTACGAGCTTGTGGGGAACGGGAGCTCACCTCCGTGTCCAGGGGCGGCCTCCAGCAAGCAGAGTTATTTCTGCCAAGCTTTGCGGGTTGCCTGACAGCTTCGGGCCTCCAGTCGGAAATAAAATTATCGTTTTGCTTCTTGGATGCCTGGGTCTTGGCTGGTGATCTGGCTTTAAGTACCGAAGTTTGGTTTTTCACAGAGAACGAGTGAAAGAAGCAAAAAAGTGTGGAGGGATGCTTGTCTGTTGTCTTGCTTGACAGCCATATTCTTGGGTGATGCTCTAACCAAACCTTGGCTTCACTGGCCCTGAAGGTTCATGGCTTCACTGCGAAGCCATAGCCTGAGGTAGCCTACTAGGTTAGTAGTGTCCAGATTTGTTCTTCCCTGCCAGGATAAGAAGGATAGCAGCCTGCAGCGGAGTAATGCTGTCCAAGTTTAGGAACCAGCCTTCATTTTTACAACTTTTCTGTTTTCTTGGAGGAGGTTAATATGAAACATCAGACATGCAGAGACATCTGACTGTCCTCCAGTGGGAACAGTGGGTTTTTCAATCTCCTTAGAAAATAAGGAACTTACCTTTCAATTCTGACTCTTTTGCAGAACAGAGGTAATGAGAAAGGATCCCCTCCATAAAAAGATTTTGTTTCTGTAAGTGAAAAACACATAGTGATTTTGAGTGTTTTGCCAGAGAGATCCTGTTGTAGGAAACCCATGGAAAATGTTCTGTTCCCAAGTCAGAATTCATATGGGGTTTCATTTGATTGACCCTGATATCAATGTTCTGCCAGTTTTGAGAGTTCAAAGTTTTGATTGGTTTCTTGTGATTTTCTGAATTAAGATTCCATGAGTCAACTATTTCACAATGAAAGCTGAAACAAGATGTGTTGAACTAAATGCTTTTAAATAAGAGCAAATGTACCTGTCTGCAGCCTGGACCTTGCTTTGCTACAGCATTGTAAAAACTTGTTTTTCCTAGAGGTTTGCACAGCTGCTGGTATTTCAATGTTTAAGCGAGCCTTGGATTCAGGGTTTGCCCTGGTCCTCTCTATGTTTGTGTGGTATTTTTAAGGCAAATTACTTCGCTCTGCCTGTGCTTTCAGTTGGTGACCAGGAGGTCCACTTCAAACCAGAAACTGAGCAAGTACTGCACTGACAATACCCTACTGCAGAATTACTTGCTGAGGCAGCGTTGCACCTCTGCAGCATGTTTTCCACCATGTGGAAACTGTGTGAACTCGTATTTGCCTGGAACGTAGTGTGGAGGTCCAGCCTAAGAGGACATTGAATGATGCTTGACAAAGAATGATGCTTGCAGCTGTGATCCAGATGTTAGTATATAGTATTAGCAACTTGTTCCCTTGCTCTCATCCTGAAAACTTGGAGTAGAGGGAAATGTGTTGGTTAATGGAGACCAGTTGGTACCTTCCAAGTCTCCCCATTTCCTTCCTGCCTTTCCTGCTGTCATGCTTCCCAGTTAAGAAGCAACTGGCACAACACTGCAATCACTGCTCTGTTCTCTGGCATGTATTCAGACAGGGCATCCCACACTTGCTCTGCACTGTTTGTATTCCCTTATCAAAGGCAACTGGTGATAACTTCGCTATTGTTAATGACAAGCACAACTTACTGTATTATCAAAGTTTAAATAAGATAGAGATGTCTCTGGAGTATGCCTAAAATAAAGCATAGATTATGAGAAGCTTTGTAAAACCCTCCTCAGTGTGTGCAGCTTCTTAGATAGAAAATGATGTGGAGCTTGTTAGGAAGAGTTCTAAGATACATAACAATAGCTTCATTAAAAAGGAAAAAATGGGTAATTGATGTGTGCTGTTCTGAAGTTGTGATAAACAGATTAAGTTTAACTACAGTGCTACAGGATGAAAGCTGTATTGTCTTAATCCTGGTCACCACTAGGTAATGTTCTGATGACTGTCTTAGTGAGACCTTGATAAAATTAACTTGGTGTTTATATGAACAGGTGGTGCTGCAGAATTTTTCTGGATAGGATTAAAAGCCAAGGCAGTCCCATCCTGTGTGCTTCTGGGCCCAACAAATTATCTCCCTCAGCTCCCTCCCTCCCTCTTCACCAGAGGGGCTGGAAGGTCTGTAGGTGCAGGTCCTGGATGAGGCTGAGAGATGTGCTTCTATCACTTGGTGTGATGTGAGTCTGTGGGCTGATGGCCTTCTCTGTTCTTGTTTGCAGGTTGCCTCTCCCTCCAGGTGACAGTGCAGGATACTGAGCGTTACACCACCTTATTTGCCAGTGTCATCCTCAGGTGTGACTACAGCACCTCAGCTCAGCTGCAGGACGTGGTGGTGACCTGGCGCTTCAAATCCTTCTGCAAGGACCCCATCTTTGACTACTACTCAGCCTGTAAGTTTTAAGCTTGTCCTCCAAGGAATCCCTCTTCCAGTGGAAAGGAAGGGGAAGGTGGACTTACTTGGTAATACAGGCTTTGATGCCTTTCTACTCACGAACCGGGTGGTGGTGTTTCCCAGCACTCCAAGGAAAAATAAGTCATGTCTGTGATTTGCTTTGAAACGTCAAGGGCTTATGATACGAGATTGTAGAGATTCCAGCCAAAGCACTTCATTTGTCCTCCTTGTCATCAATTCAGAAGGCAGAGCAGCTCAGCCACGTTTGACGTAAGTCAATCTTGGCAGCCCCATTTTATGCTTCAGCTTGTTTGAAAGCAAGGGCCCTGAAACAAGTTGACTTTATGATTCCATGGAGGACCCCACGGTTGGAGATAGATACCTGTGACAAGATGTTACTGATCTTAGAAAGTAGAAGAAACACATGCATTTTGGAGGGTAGAAAGACTTCTGAGTAATAACATTTAATACTGGTGAGAGTACTTCATGTGCAGACACTCTGGTGTGGGCAGCCTTAATTCAGGAGTGTTTAATATGGTATGCAAACTGCATTCCAGAGTGCACCAAACACGGTATAACCAGCTGGCCAAAAGATATGATGATCCCACTATATTTAATGTTGGTGTGGCTTCACCTTGAGTATTGTGTGCAGTTCTGGGTCCCAGAATTTAAGAATATTAAGGTACTTGAATGCAACCAGGGGAGGGCAACAAAGCTGGTGAAAGGGCTGGAATGCATGTCCTGTGAGGAGCGGCTGAGGACTTTGGGCTTATCTGGTTCAGAACAAAGGAGGCTGAGGGGTGACCTCATTGCTCTCTACAGCTTCTTGAGGAGGCAAAATGCTGTCTCTTCTCCCTGGTATCCAGTGATGGGATGTGTAGGAATGGTCCAAAGCTACAGCAGGAGAAATTCAGACTGGACTCCAGGGAGCACTTCTTTAATAAGAGGGTGGGCGAGCACTGGAATAGGCTTCCTAGAGAGGTGGTCAATGCCCTAAGCCTGTCAATGTTTAAAAGGCATTTTGACAGTGCCCTTAATAATATATTTTAAGTTTTACTTAACCGTGATCAGACAGTTGGACTAGATGACCTTTGTAGGTCCCTTACAAATGAACTATTCTATTCTATTCTATTCTATATAAACCCTACAGTATGTTTAAGAGGCCTCAGCTTAACTGTACACTTAGGACTGAGCTCAGAGTGGGTGTCTTAGTGCCCAAACTCTCCTTTATGCAGCCTGGGTGGGTTAGGTAGGCATATTAACAAGTGCTCTACAGCCTAGTGCACAAGCAGGCAGGTCCCTGGCTCAGCTGATCCCAGCATAACACAAGTGCTTTTAGCCCAGGCTCAAGCTAATAGGCGCAAACAGTGACAAAAAGCATGAAGGTCATGGTGTCTGCTTAGCTGGGTCTGGTATTCATGCTCTGTGGTAAGTACAGCAGTGGAAGAGACTTTGACAAGCTTTGTTCTCTCCTCTCTTCATTTCAAGCCCTTTGCAGGCAATGCTGACTGAATCAGTTGTCTCCCCAACTCTCAGCTCCCAAACACCTGGCAATTCAATGTTTATATTGTGAGTCTGTCACAGGAGTATTGCACAGATATTGCCTCTAGTCCTCCATTAATTCTCTTGGATGTCTCTAACTTAATCCTTAGCCGGAATCAGATGATGGATTATATCCTGTCTTTATAAGATGCACAAAATCTAATGGGATGCAGGCGGGAAAGGCAGACAATCCCTTTCCTGTATGTCTGGAGGTTTTGTTTGGTAAATAAACACACTTTTGTTTTAGTTCCAGTACTCCTTGGTGTTTTATGATTCTTTTCCATGCAGTTTATCTTCATACTGGGAGCTGCCCTCCAGCCTACCACCATTAGGCTCTTTCTATTACTGTTCTTTCAGTTGTGAGTACAGGAGGGATCTCCTCCACATCTTCTGCATTCTCAAAATCCCTGCCATTCCTGTGGCTCTACCTCTGTTTGTTTTTGAGTACTCCAAAGTGACTTGTCCTTGCCGGTTTGAAGCCATGCTTTGTATTATTAAACTAAAGCAAATGCACACACGCACTCAAGAGTTTCTCTACTGCTCACAAGGGAATAGAAATTGGTCCTTTGAAATAACTTTTGGCATCTTATTTGCTGCTGTATGTTTGTAGCATACCAGGCTGGTTTAGCCCTTGGCCAGGACCCATCTGACGACTGCAACGACAGCCAGCGAAAGGTGCGCATTGTCATCCAGAAATACGGGCAGAAGGACCCCGTGCTGGGCATCGACTACCAGCAACGGAAGATCACCATTCAGAACAGTGAGTGACTCGACCTCCCAGGCAGGCACTGAACTCAGTAACTATAAAATATCTGGGTCTGCTAAGTGAAGAGAGGTATAAACATTGCTAGTGTAGTCCGTAGCTTACACATTCCGGGAGGTGGCGGTGGAATAAGAGCTGTGAAGGGCCCTGTCCCTGGTTGGCCTGAGGATGTTGGAGGCACTACGAGCTAAGGCTGAGCTGGGGATGCCTGAGCATTTTGCTGAAGAGCACAAAAGCTGAGGAGCCCAGAGGCTAAAAAACAGTTCATTCTTCTAAGAAATACTGTGTAATTGTCCAGGTGTATTATATGCTCCCTGCTGTTCCCGAAGCAATAAGTGTTGCTCCTGCCAGATGAGCTATTGGGATGGCTGGCCTAAGAGGGACAGTGAAGTGTGTTCCAAAACCAGTAGAGCTGGCAGTTGGCAGCAGCTGGTGTCTGTTAACATTCAGCAGCATGCTGGTTATTTCACTCCACACAGAACTAGTACCGCTTCCAAGTAGTGTTGCCTTCTAGCAACACAGAAGAAAGGGACTGGCAGTGAATATTGTCTGTAGGAATTCTCAGTGGACTCAAATGTGATTGTTGGAAGGTGATTGCTATGCTTGGGAAGAGGGGAGATGCAGTACTCCATATTGCCTGCAGGCAGAGGTTTTGAGTGGGGCCTGAAAATAGTGTCAGTCCCAAATAGCCCACTGACCTCTCAGTCCTTCTCCTGCAGAAGCAGACCTTGTCATCACTGAGGTCATGTGGTGGGACCACGGCGTGTACTACTGCAGTGTGGAAGCACCAGGAGATACATCAGGTGATGCGGACAAAGAAGTGAAGCTGATTGTTCTCCGTAAGTGCCTGTGGTTCATTGCCCGAGTGGCAAGATATCTCCTACTTTTCTCTTCTTCCCCACTCCAAGACATCTCCAGCAGTGGAGGGGTGCTCAGTAACTTACCACAGCCGGATACATCAGGATCAATCCTTTTTCTCTCTCCTTTTTTCCCATAGATTGGCTTACGGTGCTCCTCATCATTCTCGGTGGCCTCCTTCTCCTTCTGATGATTGGAATATGCTGGTGCCAGTGCTGCCCCCAGTATTGCTGCTGCCACATCCAGTGTGGCTGCTGTCCAACCCGGTGCTGCTGTAACCAGGAAGGTGAGGTTCAAGCAAATGTGCATCCATTTATGGCTTTTGTCAATATGAAAGCTTGACTAGGAGCTTGCTGAGCTCCCCTTTCTCCCTTATGCTCAGCATCCATATAAAATGAAATATTTCTGTGGCCAATGTGACCTCTGGGACCAGCTTATCTGAGTTTAGAGGAGGGGAGCTGAGATACATAGAACCCACCTTGCTTTTCTGTGTCCAAATTTCAGAGGTTCCTCCTCACTCACACCTTCTTACCAGCATCTCTCATGTCATCCAGCTCCCTTGTATGAGTAGCTCAGGACTTTTCTTCTCTGTCTTGTGGTTCATTTGCCTGTGCATGTGAGGAACAAAAGCAAATGCCTTTGTACTACTGTCCAAACTAGCCTAACCTTCAAGTATGTTGCTCCAAGAGGAATTATGTAAAAATTGGCATTTTCTATCTTCATGTTTTTTTCAGAGCTGCTCCCTCCACAAGAAGAAGGTTTTATTTGTTTTTCTTGGGGGAAGGAAGTGAGAAAAAAGAGGAGAAAGATGGTCTCTCTTGGTGCTCAACTGTATAAGTGCGTTTTTGAGGGTCAAGAGAAACTTTAATATTGTGTTTGTTTTTAGCAGTAATAAAGTTTCTGCAGCCAGATATAGTTTTTTTAATAAGGCTGCTTGTCTGAATTGTGGCTGCTAAAGTCACATAACCTCTGCAGCCCTGTTAATGAAACTTAGTTAGCCACATGGTGGACTAGCCTCTCTGCAGCTTACACAGTCTGACAGGAACAAAATACAACAAATAAGTTTATTTATCATTGAAATCACCAGATTCTTCCCCAGATGCTACAAGGAGAGGATTTATGAACAAGGAGCTGGGTTCCTGGTTTCCCTTTACCTTCAGAAGAGCTATTTGGTATCAGTTGGGTGTAAGCTGTAAGAGTTTTAGGCTTAAGCCTGATTTGGTTAGCCCTTGCAAAGAGAGAACAGAACATCCCTCTTACTGCTAAAAACAAAACGAAACACTTTTGGGGGGCTTTACAGGTTGTCAAGTGAAATGCGGAGTGTTGAGGAGGCTGTGGAAATTTGGCAGAAAAATTAGTTTCCGCGAAGGGAGAGAGAGGTGGTGGAGATGAAAGACTCACACCTCCAGAATTCCTAGTTCTCAACGAAAAAGGGATTCAGATTTGTGTGAGCTCCTTTCTGTTTTTCTGTGCAGTAGATTATAGCTCACTCCAGACTGCTGCTGTTATTTCCTGCCTCCTGTTGAGGAGGAGGAATTCTTGCAGGGTTCCCAAAACCTCTCCCTGTTCATGAGAGAAGGTACAGACAAGACCAGCCTCCTTGACTGGCTGCTGGGTTCTGTGGCTGTAATTTCCATCCCAGCTGCCTGCCCTCTTTATCCGCTTTGCAAAGGATCCCTGTGCCTGCTCCCCTCCTCTAACACACCTTCACTTCATCCTGACTCTGACTTACTTTTTTTTCACTCCAAGAAATGAACTGGAGGCCTTAAAAAACACAAGAAGATAGATTCAGGGAACATCTTAAAAACAGTCCTGAGGAATAACAGTTCCATACAGCTGAAGAGAAGGCAGAAATCCTCATCTCCTTTACGATTACAGTGTGAGCCAATTTCTTCCCAATTGTTGGCCACTAGAGGACAGCCTAGATCTACTGAACAATCACAGGTGCCATTGAGGAAACGTAATCCTGCGGCTGTGAATCACAGCACTAAGTACCGTGGTTTTGAACCTAGCAATAAAAGAAGTGCATTGTTTGAGTAATTCAGGATTGGTGTACAGAAATATTAAACATGCCCCAGGAGCAAGCCAATTACGTTCCCAATGGAAAGCTCTGCGAAAAGCCCATCAGGGTAAATATATGTATGACCTCCTTCTGTTCCCATTAGTTCCTTTTCTACTGTGGACTTCTTCTAATAATGAATTGGTATAAAATAGGATATACTTGCACCTGGGTCTGACTAGGTTTAAAAATATTTTTTTTATAATTGAATAATTGGCCCAGCAGCTGTAAGGTCTGTCAAAGGTGAAGAACAACCTTTCTCAGCAGGGAATAAATGAAGGGAACAACATAACATTCTGCCAAAGTTTTACAGCAGGTATGAGTTTTGGAATTCGGGTGAATCTGACCTTTCTTAAATAAATATGTTCACTTTAAAAATATCTATAACTTTACTTCCATTTTGGAGGTGGGGAACCAGAATGTATGTCAGATTCAAACTGGAAAGCAAGGTATCTGGGGAAGGAAGAAAGGCCAAAAGTAGTGAAGGAAGTCCAGGGGTAATTCTGCATTTGTTCAGCTGTAGGAAGAGATCAGAGAATTACAGGGACATGATGACCTTGGTCCTAGTGACTGCCTTCATACCTTAAGGGGGAGAACCCTAAGTAGGTATGCCGACAGCTGCTGGACCTCTGCTCCTCAGGCAAAGACCATGATCAAAACCGAGGGACGTGCAGTCAGCAGGTTCTAGGACATTCTCAAGGTGGTAACTGGAGGAATAAGAGAGGAAGAGATGAGGCCTTTCTCTTCTTTTTATCCTTCATCTTCTTTCTCTCTTTCTTCAAGTTTGAAACCTAAACTGGAGGGAAATCTCTTTGGACAAAAAAAAAAAAAAAAAGAAAAGAAAGTGAATCAAGTTTGACATAAAGTGCTTGAAAGCTGCTACCTCAGGCCACAGAGCTTTGAAGATATATTGGAGTATTAGGATTAAAACCCCTGAAGTTTCCAGCTTTACAGTTCTCTCTGCTTGGAGCCAAACTGAGGAGGGAGTCTGAAACGGAGAATGAAGTGGAGCTGCATGACCTGTGGGGAAAGGGTAGGATGAGTTGAGGCATGGTCAGTCCTTGTTTTGCTGCAAGTGGTGCTCTGTATAAATTCAGTGAAACAGCTAGAGGAGGACATGTTTAATAACTGGAGTGCTACCTGAAATGGAAAGCTCAGTCCCAGAGAACATGCAGTCTAAATGCTGCCTGATACAATGAACCCTGGGGGACAGAATTAATTGGAGCTTAGCTGTAGCCTGGTTTCTTAAAGAAGCAAATCTTTTGCAGTCAACTTGTCTGTCTATCCCCTATCTCTTTCCCTCCAATAGCTTTTAATTTCATCAGCCAACTTCAGCCAGATTTAGCAGAGGAGTAACAGTCTCAAAGGCAATTATATTCCTATCTGTTTCCTGAACTGTATAGCCAGGAATGTTCTGTTCATGCCTGACCAGAGATGAGGTTGCAGTAAAAGCCTATCACTTCTGAAACTTCAGGGAAGCCATATGAGAGAAATTTTGCAAAGGCCCTGTTGCAGAAAAGCTTTACTCAGTAATGACAAACAAACTAGGCTTTGTAAAGTCTGGGACTTGCAGAATTTGCTTGCTTGTAAACCTAAGTTTTGAGGCAGAAATAGTAAGTTTCTGTAAGATGTTTTTAGGTATTCCTCCAAAAGAAGCAGTGACGAGCTATGGTTTTGAAGGCAAGAACGGTTAGGTTGCCTGTGTAGAGGAGGTGAGATGGAAATGCTGAAAAAAGTGAATGGAGCCTGACCCCACGAATAGGGTTCTGGAGATGGTGGTGGAAACCCAATGAGGAAGAGACATTTCTGCCGAGTTTGCTCTTTCAGTGCACTAGACATTGCTGTTGAAAACTGGAAATTTAGTTTGCTCGCCAGTTTGATCACACTGTCCTAAGGGATTTAGTTTTAGCAATCATGCTGAGGTAAATTACAGAGAGAGACTAGAAAGGGAGAAGCTGGACAGTGCACCTCTGAGTGCCCTATATGTGGAACAGAGAGGAAATAATGGAGTATAGAGTGGAAAATATGATCTGGACAGAACCCACATGAAAGTGGCAAAGAAAGATCTTGTTTAGCTGTAAATCAAAACTAAAAGGGGAAAGGACCAATGATGAGCTGAAAAAGTTTTGAGAGAGAGAAAACTGTGGTATGTCTTACTGTATGAAACATTATTTCACACCTTTCCACGACTATACTCATAATGACAGAGCAGGTAGAAGTCTTACACCTGGTAGTGCTGCATACTTAATCATAGTGTTATTTGTTCCCAGTTGCTGGGACTGGACTCTGAATGTTAGGCAGTAACCCTTTTCTTCTGTTTTAGGTATCTTTTTGAAGATATACAACTTCATATTTCCCGTGTTCTGTTTTAACTTTGTCATAGGGTGGAGAGAGATTTTCATTTTGTGAATTTCCTGTATCCAAAGACTACAGCCTAACAAGCAAAATGGTATGTGATCTGCAAGCTGTGCTCTCTGGATAGCTGCAGTAAGCTTTCTTCTTCTTTTACAGTACTGGAACGGCATCGGTTCATAAAGCGGGCTCAGGCACTTGCACCTTGGATATCACCCAACATGTTCTACGGAGGTGGTGACAGGAACTCAAAACTTTCCTCTTACCAGCTGAACCCTCTACTGCAACGAGGTAAGACCATGGGCATCATTTCAGAGGGAAATCAGGACCAGAACCAGGTAACTTCTTAGGGAAGTTCAGCTTTGAGGCTTTAGCCTCTCTACTACAAAAGAGAGATGTTTCTAGCATGGTTGCGTGTCTGAGCGTAACAGCTCTGCTACATCTACAGCATACTGTAGACTTGCCTGGATGGATAAATACAGCCTGTTCATCTTAAGTGTCTTGCTGGGCTCGGTGCTGGGTGAAGTAGTTTAGTGCTAACTAAAGTATATCTGTGCTACACCCCAGCAACTGCAGGGTAAATATACCCAGCTTATCTTGCTTTGTGTGGCACAGGAGGGTACTGTCTCTTTGTTCTGCTGTGCTGGTCACGGTCAACTCCTTATAGCCAAAACTGACATGACAAGTGAGGTGCAATTTGTTTGAGTTCTTATCAAATCTCTAGTCTTAAATGATTAAGGGCAAACTGCCTTCTGTGAAATAGATCTACCCTGCATGCAGCAAAAAATGAAAGACTCTTTAATGAACCAGGAAGAATTTTAAATGTTGTTCTGCCCCAAAATCACTTGTATAGTGGAATTTATTTGTAACTTAAATGGAGGAGGGAAGTCTCTGAAGTCCTGGAGAAATAATTAAATAAAATAACTTACTACCAGTAATATTGTTCAATCGCTCAAGGAAAACAGAGGAATTCAACATAATGACTTCTCAAAAGTATATAACATATTTTTATCTGAAATTAGCTTTTCGTCACTGTGCTGTAGTCACAGATTTAATCTGTGTCTGATGAGTTTTACCTGTTGTTTCAAGAAACTGTTTGCAAACATCTTAAATGCTAGATTCAAGATGTTTGAGTATATACTTCTTCAGCCCACTAGTTAAATCTACAGTTACCATTTTTCCTAGCCAGGGCACCAGTTTCCTTAGAAAGGTCCAGTGACTGAGTCTCTATGATTTAATACACAATACACTGAGTCTTCTTAAGGAAAGGCAGCTACTAGTTACTACTCTCTGCATTTTACCTTGTTTGGTCTGGATGTGCTGCTTGTGGTGCTTGAGAACCATGCAGCTCTTGCAGTGAGGAGCAGGAGGAGGAGAGAAGGGACTCAGCCAGGCTCATGAGTGCAGAAGGGCCCTCTCTTCATTTCCTCTTGACTTGCTGTGTTCTCCTGTTCTTTTATCCTTAGATGTCTCTCTGCAGAACAGTCTTCCACTAGTACAGCCACAAGCCCAGCTTTCCCATAACAACGGTGTTTTGGACTATCTGGAGTCTGAAATCCAAAACCTCAACATGTCACAGCTCCGGCCACCCTCCCACCAGCGGCAGGCTGTGCAGCCCAGCCTGCTGTCCTCCCTGGGCTCCGACATCATGCCACCTCCTCTCACTGATCACATGTCCTCCATCCATGGGAGCAGCAACTCCTCACGGCCGCAAAGAGCCACCCGCACCCCCCGACCCTGGGACTCCGCAGCAGAGGACAGAAGGGAAAACCGGAGGTGGCCCGTGCCTTCCAGTGGGGATTCTCATTCCAGCTACAGTCAGGACATGTGGGACAGGCAGCGAGAGGATCATCCTCAGAGGCAGAGGACAGGTGGCTACAATGGCAGGCCACAGTACTCCAGACGGGATGTGTCGCCCGCACGCCAAGCTGAGAGGGGCAAGAGCAGCAGCAGCAGCAATTTCTATCCAGAGGAGGCCAAGGAGCGCTCCAGCCACCATCGTGGCAGGAGACAGGAGCCCGCAGGGAGGCGAGAATACGAGAACCACACTGGGAGGAGCAATAACTCAGGCCAGCGGCGGCACAGCTACTCCCCCCCTTCTCGCAGGGGGTCATGGAGCTCCTCAGAGGATCAGGTCCATGTCCCAGCGACAAACCGCAGGCGGAGGAACCAGTCTCGGGAATGGCCAGAAGATAAACCCCCCAGTTATCGCTCCTTAGAAATCATCCCGAGTCAGGACGAGAAGCACAAAGGCAGAGCAGGGACACGCTCGGTGAGTCAGCTACCTTTTTGCTTTCCCACCTAAGGAAAAAGTGGGTTTGGGGGAATGAGAGTAAATGTTTTGTACTTTCTATAGCCTGTCATCTTGCAAACAGAGGCCAAGGAGCAGGGGGTGCTCTGTGGAGCCTGGTTGTGAAGAGGTTGCTGAGTTCTCTGCCTTGAGACATATGTTGCAGGGCTGTAGAAGTAGGTCCCCTACAGGGTGATATGCTATACCCTCTCACTTTTGGGGTTCTATGCATGTGTTGGTTTTAAAATAGCTGTTCTCTGGCCCTGACTGGAGAGAAAGCACCTCCAGATTAGGCAGCAGTACTGAGTACCTCTCTGCAACCATCTCTAGAGTTGGTTTACTTCTGATTTTTTTTACGATGTGCATGATTCTCCTATTATCTATCCTTAACATTTAATTTTTATTGTATCTTGGTGATATTTTTAAGATGATTGATATCCATCCAGGTAAGATGCCTAAAGTTACATAAAATAGGCTTTCAGGTAGCATGAATGAGAAATGTGTCATTCTCCAAGCCAGGTGGAAGAGTATGACTCTCTTCTTGGGACTCCTGAGAACTGAACATGCATTATATGGGCAGTAAACAGCTATTGTTTACAGCTCATCTTGTCTGGACTGGGACTGGATTTTAGGTGGCAACCTAAATGTGAAAAACTTCATATCCAAATGCTAGTCTCCAAGTTAGACAGTGTATTTCCCCTTAAAAAAAATGAAGATTCTTTTAAATAAAAAAATGTTGAGTGTCCCTTATCACATATATGCAGAGTTTTAACAGGTGGAAATCTTCTGAAGGGACTGTATTTTGCACATTTTCACTTCTGTGTTTTGGAAGGAAACACAATTCAAGTTCCAGCTGGGATGTGTGTATGTATGAATGGTTTTTGCTATGGTGTTCAGAGCAGGTAGGAAGACATATGATTTCTATTCATCACTCCTTGTTCCTGAATCTTTTCTTTTCTCTTGCAGGACAGAGCAAGTTCCCACAGTGGAAAAAGCATAATCATTTAATGTCAGTACTGAAAGAACTACGATTCCCACTGGACTCCTCTTAGATTTTTTACTATATGGGTTGGGATGGCTGCTTTTGATTGAACAGACAACCAGCAATAAACCAGCAATAAAACAGATAAAGCAGCTTCTCCTTAGATTTGCAACTCTGAAGAATCTATGACTCGTGCCCATGGAAGCCATACATAACCCATTTTTATTCTTGCCGTGATTGGAAACAGGTTTGCAGTGGGCTGTAGTTCATTGCTATTGGAAACAGCAGATTTTTTTCAGTAAATAGTATACTGCTAATCTGGAAAGATAGATACCAATTCTCTTTGTTAAGTGCACTGCAAGGAGCCCAGTCTGTAGAATGCTGGTCCTTTGCACACCAGTTACCGGAGAAAGGCTCCAATGTTCACAGAGTTGTAAAGTCACAAGACAGTAGAATAATTTCGATTAGAAAGGGCCTCTGGAGATCATCTGATCCCGTGCCCTGGGAGTCTGGTGTGGGGAGGCACAGCATCTTCTTTCTAAGGCCCTTTGTTGTGCTTCAGAATGTGTAATGTTTGTTGCTTCTGCCTGGCTGCTCAGCACAGTTGGGGCAGTTGCTTCCTTTTGTCCCCACTAAGCCTCTCTCCCAAACAGGAGGATCACAGTGTTGGAATGATGTTCACTGCCTTAAGATCTCACTAACATGTCTGCGAATTTCCGGGTTATCCACCCTTTACTGACTGAAACAATCTGGCCTTCTTTAAGCTTAGACCTTAGTGCCTTAAAAGATACTTGTTCTAGCCTTTCATCGAGACTTGAATTTATTTGTAACTTAAAGGGCTAAATTTACCAAGGTTTGGCCTTCTCTTCAGGGACTGAGTAAAGTATAACTGCTGTCCCTTGCACCATGGACAGAATTTCCCTCAACTCAAGGAAGCACAGTTTTGGTGACTATATCTTTCCTAAGCCAGGTACTCTTTTCCATGCATTTTATATTCTCCATTTGCTCTCTATGCCATGTATCATATACATGGGGTGGTATAAAGGGCTCTGAAGAACTCTAACAATCACCATTTTTAATGTTGTCCATGATCTTTACCCTGGCACTTACACAGTGCTGCATGTGTGGTGCATCTGATCTATAGCTAGATTGTAGGTTTCCCTCATCTCTCACCTTACAATTAGAACACAGAATTTCTGTGTGCTCTGAGACCAGTTGTGAAGGAGAAAAACTTACCATTTCTCCTTGATGTGATTAATCCACTGTTTTAATTTAAAATGTGCCGGAGAAAGAGAAGCCCTCTGGATGCTGGCTGCTTCCACGGGAAACTGGCTTGCCAGAGGCACTTCTTGGATTTAAGAGACTCAACGGTTGTCAAGGAACTTTTGGAGAATCTTATGAATTATTTTGTAACCCAGAGGCAATGGAGATTGGCCAGTACCAATGACTGTCTTGCCTGGTTCATTTCCCAGCCGGTGCCGCATGGGACGCTTGCTACTGTTTGTTCTTTAATGTCCTAATTACTGATGTGCTTATGCTTTCCCTTGGAAGACTGACTTGGAGAGACTTTCATTTTGCCCACTTCCTTGTTTTTCTTTTCTTTGGACAATGATGGGAAGCATCACACTTCATACAAATCGTCCAAGTTGGATATCCGATGCAGTTGCTGGTTGACCAAAGGCTACTACAGAGAGTGCTCATCTTCCTACAGTTTCTTGGCTGAAAGTGCTTATTCCTAATTTCTGCCTCTGGAGATAAAGCAGAAGGACCAGCTAGCTTCTCTAGTTGACCTTGTTTCAGAACCAGAGGCCTACTTTTTGAAGACAGAGGGTCTATTTGACAGCAGTTTTTGGCTTTCGAAAAAAAAGATCTAAAATACTAACTCCAAAGTTTGAATTTAAGAAAGGAGGGCTATATTAAGCGTAATACTTGTCTGCATTAGACTCAAACTGAACAATGTGAATAGACCCACAAGTCACATTTGAAATATAGGGAATTAAGCGTGTTTGCAGAACTTGCAAAGCCAGTATCACTCTTGAATCTGTTCCTCAGCCACTGGCTGTGAATCATTTTTATTTTTATTTTATAACCTGCTGAGGATTTTATGAACCCTCTCTTCTAAGATGGACTAGTATTTTTATTAGTTAAGAGGAGTTTATGATGACTGCCATGACAGAAAATAATATGAGGCACCTTCTTCCAAAACTAGCATTGAGTTCTGACTTTAGCTTTGCCCTCTGGTGACTTTTAGCAGATAGCCAGGACCCTGCAGATTCTACCCGTGGAAGCTGAATTGGTAACTTGGAATTTGATTCTCTCCTTGTGCTTCATAGTTTCATGCAACATACAGGACAACTTTTTCCTGTCATTCCAACCAAGCCCAAATGTCCAGGTTTCAGGGAAGGGCTGCCCCTTTCTCCATCAAAGAGTAGAGGCTATTTGAGAAATGAGGGGAGATCCCAATATGGTAGCATGGAAAGAGTTCATTTTCATTGACATTCAAGTGTGTATAAGCCAACATGTGTCCAGCGAGTTTTCTCAAGAGCAAGAACTCCCTCACACTGCAAGAAAACCCAGATGACTCTGTAACAGGAGAAGCTGTTGAAGCTTTCTGCTGTAGTATGAGCACACTAACTGCAGAGGCTGTGCTTTTTTATCTACATTCTGTGAAGGAGCCCTCTATCTTTATTTCCTCCTCTAGTCCCCATAATTGAGCTAGGGTGACTAATTGCAGATTGTGTGAACACAATTTGTGCTGTGCGAAGTCTGAAGAGTTTTATCTTTATCATACTTGATATCCTCTTCAGTCACTTTGTTTTGTTTATAGAAACATTAAGCACAACTCTTCAGGGAAAACTGATTGTATCTGAGTGTTAATTCTGTAACTTCTTAAATTGCGACAGAAGTAGACAAAGTTATCCAGCAGGGAAGCAGAAATGATACCAGGTTTACTGGTCCACAGACCACTGCGGTTCATAAAACACCAGTTGGTGGTGGGCTGTGAAATAACGACAGAGGAAGTCTATATATGCATACTTTTCAACTGCAAGCAGACAGAAAAGTGGGAAGGAAATAGACTCTGCTCTAGATGCTTATTTCTAGTTTTAATTGGCTATAAATGAAACCCATTGTGACAGCATTGCACAATACAATGTGAACCCTTTTTTCCAGTAAGATTACAGTGTCTTTGACTTTTGAAAAGAGACTGAGAACTAAGCGGCTCCAATACAGCACACTGAAAGAAATAGCAGTAGGGAATCACCTAGCCTCATTCTTTCTATATTGCAATTTATTGATGCTTAATTTTTCAGCCATTCCAAAGAGCTGATGTTCATATGTCAGCCCATTCGTGATGGAAAAAGTCGAATGTTTCACATATGGGAGTTATTGCTATTCTAGGATTTTGTTCTTCTTGTCATGCAGTTGAAGGAATATATCTTACTCCCCAAAAACGAATCTTCTGTCTCGAATAAAGTACCTTCATAACCACTGGAGTTACTCTAATTTAAGATAATGTGACCATGCCACATAGAGAGGGCCAGATAAGGACACCCGTGCTGCTGTCAGCTGCTTTCCACCTCAGACCATAGATTCATAAGAGATAAAAAATCATGTAATATTTCTTTGATTAAGAAAGGACCTGCAATATCTGGGTTTCTTGCTTATTTGCAGAGCGCCCTGCCATTCCGGAATGCCATTCCAGGAATGGAGGGCAAGGGCTGCTTCTGTGCAATCATTGATCTGGTCTTGGCAAGTGCCTGCTTGGCAGTAGAAAGTGCTGAAATGCCCAGTTGCTATCTCTGCGATTGTATTCATGATAGCACTAGCTAAAGTTAGGCTAACTAAGCTGGGGGAGTTACCTTGTGTGATACAACCCCAAAGCAAAGTCTTCAGCAGTATGTATTACCACACAGGGCAGCTAAGTCCTCTCTGTGCCACTGTCTATCTCCAGCAGCACATCAGTTAAAAACACTGATGTGAGAGCCTTCCATTTGTTGACCTGACATAGGAGAGGGATGACACTTGAGGTTATATTAAATTAACCCCCACAAGTAAGGACTGCTCATTCCTATTTCTGCTAAGTTTAATGCCTATAATGTGCCTTGTTACGGTCTTCTGAATGTTACCCCAGCTGTAAAAGCAGATTATAAATGTGTAGATCCTCTTCAATGAATGTCACATGTCTAACTGAAATATAAGAGAACTTTCAACCAGTTGCTCTTGTGTGTACTTCCTAGACTATAAATTGCTTTTTAGTGTTTGCACCAGAAGTAGAACTGAAAATTCTATGTTCTTATTTCTGGAATTAGCCTTGTTACCCATTAGTAAGAATCTGCTGTTGTTGTTTGTTGGACAAAAATGCAAAATTATTTGCTTCAATGGGGGATTTTTTTTTCTTATTTTGGAGACTTTTTTTCTTAGTTTTTCTAAGGAAGATCATTTGAATAAATACCAAGAGAGGGGAAAAATATATGGGAAACCATTGACAGCCCTCTTTAATGATGTGACCCACTCTAGCCATCACTGACTGGCTGCCATGCCTGTAAAATGAGAACAGTTACTGTTTGATTCTAAAGCACTTGAAGCACCATGAGAAGAAAAGTCTTCTAAAAATTTTGTTTGGTTGATAAATGAAGGTACTGGTTGAGCTTTTCACACTTCCCACGTGTGACAGTCACCTAATAAATAAGTGGCCAACATGAAAATGGAGGTCTGTTGGGGCTCACATGGTAGGTTTAATTTATGTCCTCCCATTTCCCTTAGCTCATGACCTTGGTAGCTCAGTGTTGCAGCCTTTCTGTCTCTTCCCCCTTCTGCTCGGTGGTCCCATGTGCTCAACTCAGATGGCTGGCCCGACTGAAGACCCAGCGGGCACTTGGAACCTGACCTATGGGAAACATGCCCTACAGCAGCAATGCCACCACTTTCTGACTGGGACCAGGGATCTTTGGGAGACATTATAGAATCAGAATAGTTTGCATTGGAAGGGATCTTACAAGGTCACCTCATCCATCCTACCCCTGCAACCAGACCCTATCCAACCTGGCCTTGAACGTTTCTGGTGATAAATAGGGTGTCCACAACTTCTCTGGACAACCCGTTCCAGTGTCTCACCACCCTCACAGTAAAGAATTCTTCCTTGCATCCAATCTAACTCTGTCCTATTTCAGTTTAAACCTGTTTCACTTTCTCCTGTCACTACAAGCGTTGGTAAAGCCTATTTCTTATAAGCACCCTTTAAGTATTGAAAAGCTATAATAAGATCTCCCTGGAGCCTTCTCTCTAGGGTGAACAGACCCAATTCTTTCAGCCTTTCCCCATGGGAGAGGTGTTTCAGCCCTCTGATAAGATTTTTGTGCCCATCTGGGCACACTCTAACAGGTCTGTGTCTTGCCAGCCTGTGCAAAAAGACTTGACCATGGGGAAAGAAGAAATGTGAGAGGGGTGCACACTTGCCCCTGTGCACCATTTGGTTAATGCTTTTACTGTAAATGAAGGGGGAAATGCCAATGGCCATAACAGCTGCAAGTAAATTCCAACTATCAGAGCAGGGAGGTTATGGCACAGGCCTTCCCAAAAATTCAGCCCAGGTCTAGCTACTGTTAATGTGGAATTTGGTCAACTTATGAGAGCGGTCTCTATGACACAGATGCCTGTGAAAGTAGGGGACTCAGTGACCCAGGAGCTACCTTCCACATCTCTTAGGCTCAGGTCAGACTGACCCCCCATTACCAAATCTCAATAACAGGTCCAGAGTCCTCCACAGCTTCTTACCTCTCCCACTGAGCTGGATGTGCTTGCAAAAGAGCAAATGGGGAAACAGAGCAGGACCTTTGACCCCTCGCTATCATTATATTCGCTCCATAAATGCCAGTGTCTCAGATGAGCATCTACCTCAGCTTCAGCCTGAGAAAGAGAGAAGGCAGGACAGGTAAGTGCTGAACTCTCTGTTCTGGGTGGGATGGGCATTGTGACTGGTGTGTCTAGATCAAAGGGAAGTGAGTGAAGATGATCTTCTATTTTTCCCCATTTCTTATTGCAAGCCAATTAAGAAATTGGCTTCTCACACTCCGCAGGCAGGAATACTGATGAAATGGGGGAAGGTGGGGGTGCTTGAGGTGACCTGGCTTGAAGTTGAGTGATGGATGCTCCATAAGACGCTCATGGGAGGGTCAAGCCCATGGTACGAATTGCAGAGTTTCAGTGTTGGAAGATACATAAGCGTTTCCAAGCTGCCTTCATCACAGGGATTACAGGCTCTAAACTGGATAAGAGCACCTCTTTATGCTCTTGGGAAGCAAATTTACGCCTTTTGTGTACATGGAGAAAAACTGGCTCTGGGATTAAAAATCAAGGTAGGGTGGTAAAGGAGCAACTGCTCCTGGGCAACAAATGTCTAGGAAATGGAATGGTAGCTTTTGGAGGCAATCTGTGCACAGAAGGATGTAAAAATGGATGCAAATTTCCTTACTGTGGGACAAGAAGGAGCATTGACTTGTAGCCACCTGGTATGGGATTTAGCAAAGCATTCACATGTAATAGACTTGCAGCCTTTTTTGCTGTTGCAATTCTAAAACGTCAATGTTTTCTTCATGTTGTTCTGAGTGATGCAGCCCTATAGTTGAGGGCATAAATCAATATTAATTTCTAAACACGTTTTTAAGCACAGAATGTTTGAAAAGCTTGTTTAGATGTAATGTATTTTCAATGTACCAAGTACTGAATTTTCAATTCTCCAATTCTGACTTTTTTAACAGACAAAAATAAAGGAAGTCAGATGAAGCTAAATTTTGCACTCACTCCCTTTTGAGAACTTGTTCTACTTGGGCTACTATCTGCTGCATTAATCCCAGAGTGAAAAAGACAAGTGAACCTAGTTGGCTGGTTGGCAACTTTCCTCAGCTAAAGCAAGGCAAAATACTCAGATCACTGGGTCACTAAGATGATCATTGTATGTGATGCACACATGCACACTAGCGCAATGTTCTTTAGAGCAATTTAATAAAACAAGCAAAGAAATCCCACATTATGAATTTGTACTTATTCATAGAGGAAAGCTATTCTTACTTCTGGCAGTTTTAGTTGTTTGTTCATGTGCTGAAATAAGGGATTTTAGCTCTCATATAAAAGACCTAGCTTTACTCTCACATATTTCTTTGAGCTCTGAAAGTTATTATTGTGAATATTTGTGATTATACAAATAAAAGAACACCTTCATTTTTATACTATTTTTTCCTCACTTCTTCGGAGTAAATGCACCGTGGTCTTTCCTGTTCTTGTCTTCATTTATTGGTTAGCTTTGTTGCAGAAATCTGGTGTTTAACCAACATGTTTTATTTCTCTGAAAACAAACAAACATTGTATGCTGATTCCTGCAGGTCTCTCAGTATAGGGAGTAGAACTGGTACTGCAAACCATGTTGCAATCCAGGGTATTGGTGATAGCTCTGATTCTGCTCCTCAGCACCACTCTGCCTGGTAAGTCTGAAAAGCTTTTCTGTCTGCCTGAGACAAGGCTCAGCTCTACAGGTTCTCACTGGACTTAAGCCCAGCAATACAGTTGAAGACCATGAATACATAGTGCTCAGCAGTGTGAAACAAGTCAGTAGAGATCTGGCATGAAAATTGTCCATACATGGCAAACACTCTGCCATGTAAGGCCTGTGGCATTCACCACGAAGAAGTGAAGAGGTGCTGCTGGATGCTGCTAGAGCGAATTCAGGGAGAGGTTCTGAATCTCAGAATTTCAAGAATCTTCCCACTGCACCTGGGGGAAAATATGAGAGACATGAGTGACTGGAAAAGCCTGATGGGGTTTTGCCTCCTTTTTTTCAGAAGTGCACTCAAAGTCCGTCTTTGAGAGAGACCGTCGTGACTGGCTGGTTGTCCCTGATGCAGTTGCATCTTATGTCTATGAAGCTGTGAACAAGGTGTCCCCTAGAGCGGGTCAGTTCTTGGTTGATGCTGCCCAGACTCCAGCAGTTGTTGCAACTAGGTATGGAAAGCTCCTCTGTGCTAACGCTGCAATAGCCATGTGTGAAAACAGAGAGGGAGGAGTGGGAGGAAGAACAGATTAATCAAGTATCTATATGGGGAGACCCAATGGGAAATGAATCAGCAACCAAAGCCTGATGTGACTACCATGGGAGTGAGGTGCTGGGAGGTGGGGTGAGATGATATGGTCTTCTGTGAAAGCACAGGCTCTTCCCAGGGATGCACATTGTATGTGACCATGCTTGTGGGGACAGCAGGTTCTGCTCTTTATTCTTGGGTAGTGAGGGAGGAGGCCTCTGGCTGGTGGGGGATCAGCTCCCCTGGAAGGGTTCTCTGGTGCTGCTGTCTGTGAGGGGTTCAGTACTAACTGTGCCATTGTCACTTGATGCAAATCACAGAATTGGCTCTAGCTATGCATACATATTCCTCAAGGAAGGGGAATGAGTTTCCTCACAAAAGGAAAATCATGATCACCCTAGAGACAGAGTTTCATGTAACCCATGGCACACACATGCTGCTTATTGAGGAAAGCCTCTCTAAGACTGCTGAGGAGCTCTGCACTCAGTGACAGGCAGCATGATATCCACAGCAGATGGAGATTACCCTCATGTATTTGTGTATCTTATTACATGCACTGTCATCTCCTGCAGGAACTTCCTCATCAGAGAAACAACTAAACTCAGTATAATGGCTGAACAGCTGATTGAAAAAATAAAGAACCTGTGGACAAGAGTCCGAGGCTATTAGCCAGAAGAAGACAAGTCAGTATCTCCTGATGTGAATTGGTAACACCCTGCAGTGTCCTCTTTCCTCCTGCTCCTACTACGGGCCAAGATCAGTCGATAAGACAGAATCAATGCTCCTCTTAGTGCCACTAGAGGGAACCCACCTTCAAAGACCAAAAAATGGAAGGCATCTGCTGAAGCCTCCCCCAGAAAAAAAAGAACACGCAGCTGGACATAGGGAAGACAATAAGATTGTAGAGCTCTTCTGTAGCCAAATCTTGAAAATTAATTCCTCCTGAAAGGCTTGGCCATTGCCCCTCCAATAAAATAGTGTTGGTTGTTACACTTCCTTAAGTTTCTTATTTGTATTGACTATTACAAAATCACACTCACCTTGGCATTCCATTCTGCTGAGAATGTAGCTGTTATTCACAAGAAGTTGTTTCAGGCAATGCTAACAAACCCTGACTGTTCAGGCACTTTTAACTAAGCTCA